TTTTTAATAATAATCGTTAGTTAATTACCTTGCACACTAAGTGATAGTTAATAGCTTGTTAATTTGTTGTTGACCCTTTCTCCTATTAACTTATGCTTTATAGCATATTAGGTGTTGGTCACCAAAATTATTTGTTTGTAACAATAAACGATATAAATTCTTGGTTTGTTGTGTAATCATATTACTTCTGTTACAACTGTTAGTTGGTGATGATCGCAGAATTATTATCGCAGAGAGGTGGTTTAAAAATTGCTCATGACGGTCACTTGTTCTCATTTCATAAGAAAAGTAGTGATGGAACATTAAGTTTTTGGCGATGTGACAAACGAACTTCCGAGAACTGTAAGGCTCGACTGCATACAGATGCAAATGGAGGTGGGCAGCGAAAAGTGTTGAACGAACAATCACATGGGGCCAATCCTGGAGGTATTGAAGCTGTCAGAATTCAAAATCTTATTAAAAGGCATGCTGAAACAACCCAAAGCACACCGGCAAATATTATCAGTGAAGCTTTACAAGATGTGGGTGTTGCAACAAGAGGACAACTTCCTTCGAAATGTGCGTTAAAAAAAGTTGTTCAGAGAAGGCGAAACATCCTGAGGGCAGCACCTGTCCAGCCTGATAATCTTGCTGCGCTCATTATCCCACCCGAGTATGCACAATATGAATTTCAACGTGATCAATTTGAAAACTTCCTTCTACATGATTCGGGCGAAGGAGACAATGAACGCATTCTAATTTTTGGAAGATCTTCGTATGGAAATTGGTCTTAAGAAATGAAAAAAATTTATGTGGATGGAACATTTCGCATTGCTCCACAATTGTTTGGCCAGGTATATGTCATTATGGCTGAACGAGGAGGTTTTGTGTTTTCGGTTGCCTACTGTTTGCTACCCAATAAACAGCAGAGAACATATGAAAAAATGTGGGACGCTATTAAGAATTTTTGGCCAAACTTTTTGCCAGATTCTATTTCCACAGATTTCGAACTGGCAGCAATAAATGCTATGCGGTCTGCGTTTCCAAATTCAAATTTTTTTGGATGTCTTTTTCATTTGATGAAAAATATGAAAAAAAAGTTAGCGGGGGAAGGATTGACAGCGCAGTACAATAATGATGCAGACTTCACTTTAGCTGCTAGGAAATTGTAGCTCTGGCATTTGTGCCTATCGATAATCTTGACGACGCATTCGAGGAACTCAGCGAGTGAACACCAGTAGAACTTGAACCAATATTACACTGGTTCGAAGACAACTACATTGGGCGCCCTAATCGAAGGGGAAATCGAAGAGAGCCAACCTTTCCAAAAGAAATTATGGACTGTTTTTGAAAGAACATTAAATGGCGATGCAAGGACAAATAATATTGTGGAAGCTGCGCACAGAGCACTACAGGCCGAATGGGAATGGATCACCCAACGCTTTGGAAATTTATTGACTCTCTTAAAAAAGTTCAATCGGGAAGAGACCAAACATTTGAGGAGTATATCCGTGGTGACGGGCCAATTCCAAAAAGAAGAAAATATATACAAGCTGACAATAGAATACTAAATATTCTGCAAGATAGAAATAATAGAACACACAACGAACTCCTTCAAGGAATTGCTCACAATTTTTTGATGAACTAGTGTAATGTGTCATATAACGGTTTATTTACGCCCGAGGCATCATGTTTATTATATTGACCATGTAATATTATATTACAAATAATAAAATGTATTTTGTAAAACATATGATTTTCTTTATTTTATTTTTTATTTGTTTATGGCGTCCAGGTAATTAACTAACGATTATTATTAGAAATTTGAGATAATTATAAGATCTGCCTCATTGTGTTGTGACCTGTATGAATAAAATCATTATTAATTACATTGAATACAATTCGCATAAAGCAAAAGTTCAATTTATTTATTAAACAATGTGCTGGTGATGGAGAAAAATAAATTGTAGGACCGAAATGACCGGGACAGAAACGGCCGGGACCGAAATGACCGGGACCGAAATGGCGGGACCAAAATGGCGAGACCGAAATGTCCTGCTCCGTAATTTCATTTTATATATTTAAATATATACTTTGCCTCAAACACAGTCCAAAATGCTTTCGCATATAATAATTTAGCCTGATGATGGTCATTGGCCGAAATCGATAGCTTTAGATAATTTAAGCCTAACGCTAAATTGAATTTCTCATTTACCTAGGTATCACTTACTCTAACCTGGATTACAGAGAAAAAGAGAAAAAAATTCTCTTACGAAATTATACCTCGCGTTAACACTAACGACAAAGGCAAAGATAAGACACTTAATTATCAAACCGGCTTTTATTTTGGCGTCTTGGCCCGAGTTATATTTTGGTAAAAAACAGACACCTTCGGTGGCGGCCAAGAACGAAAATTCAAGCGAGCAGAATTCGAGAATTTTACTTAAGAGCCAGCGCAGGGTGACTTTTGACTTGCCGCCACCAGGCACGGAGCCTGAAGAAATTCGACGATCCCGGTTTGGTCGAGTAATTCGTTTCCCTCGGCATCGTCTGGGGGAGAGTATTGTGGCGACCAGGTAGTCCGCTATACTAATGATCCTTGTTTCTAGGACGACGAAATAATAGGAGATGAAAATCGATGAGAAATTAAAGTTGTCAATGTTATTAAAATAAAAGTTGATTAGCAGTGTTAAATCGTTATTTAGCGTTGGGACTGTTAAATATAAAGAATTCCCACAAAAATATTAACTGCAGAGCAATTAGTCACAACACTGGCAAAATAAAGGCGCTGAGATAATTAATTTAAACAATTTTAGCGTGATGACGGTGTGATTTTCCCATTCAAATCAACATTTTTCGTAAAGATCCGCCTGTCACTTCAATCACAAAGGCAAAAGTGATATGCCAATGGCACTAACTACTCCTAACACAGCTATTTTTGAAAATAAAAAACATGCATAACTTTTACCTTTTACATGCGACAACTAATTGGTTTCAAATTTTGCCTTTTGTGATGCTAAGTAATAATTTTGAACACGGAGGGGAAGGGAGGCGAGGGGTGTACACACGTTCACGTTCTTCACACCCTTCTTCTTTCATGGTAGTCTAATTATTAAAGATCTCAACAAAAGGAACCGGATATAGGCATATGGAATAAAAAATCGCAGCAGCCTTGGAAACTTTTGCCCGGGGAAAAAAGTAATTTCATAAAAAGTGACATTTTGTTACCTGTCAGAGATAAAATGTCAAGCGTTTCTCCCGTCACAGAAAAAAATATATTTATTTTTCATTTGCCTATTATATGCCAATTATATCTGTCATATGAGATATATAAAGCAGTCTATGACGCCCGAGGGCATAATGAGATGACAATCCATTATGCCCTCTCATTATGCCCTCAAACTGCCTGTCAAATATATTGATGGAATTATGTAATAAAAAAAGATGCTACTTGATTTGTATGAAGCACTAACAATAATCATTACATTTGTATATTGGAAATGCATTATTTGGAACGATGAAAAATAAAATGTTGTATGTACCTCAGGCATTACTCGATATTTAACCCTCGGGCGACTTACAATCCCTCGGGCCAGAGGCCCTCGGGCTCTGTCGCCCTCGGCATAAATATCGCCTTAATGCCCTTGATACATAAATAACTATTAGAGATCCTGTGGGGGAAATTTTTTTGGCCCTACTCGATAAATCGTCGTAAACCTCCCATGACATGTTACATCTTCGATATATTGTTTACGTTTCATTTGTATTTGTTTTTATCCGCTAATGTAGCAAAACGCGATAAAATAATGGAAGCGGTAGCAAACATTTGTTAAATTTGACGTGTCACAATGTAAACGTAAACTACCACAATTTAGATTGACAGGTAACTTGAAACCAAAAAAAAACGTGTCTGAAGATATATGTAGATTTCGTACAGCTTCAGTGTCAAGCAAATTACAATACGACTATGGATTGACATAGAGGTCAAAGTAACTGAACTTTCTTCATTTTTAGAAGTGCTTTATAAAGACACACGACCTTATAAAGAAGCTTTACACAACATTATTTGTTGAAAGAAGTTTTTTTCTATTTTGATGTTGCTCCCGTTACGCAAACGAGCCGATAGCAAGCTTCCACGATTCCATACATAACATGCATGTATAGTGTATACCATAATTTATATTTGTCTAGACGCGTTTAAACTTTCTACATTATATTATGGCAGCGTTTCCGTAACGATTACGAGTAACGACCCCGCATTTTCTATTGTCGGGATTTTCTTTGTATTGTTTTTACCTCAAATATGTAAAATACAACACACGTAATTTAAATTGAATTTGAATAATTAAAGCACCCAAGCGCTAACTAATTTGTCAATTTTTACGCTGACCAAGTTGGACTTTCGCGGGAAGACAAAACGTGAAAATTTGTAAAGCTTCATGCTGCATCACGTACTTGCATAATGTGCTCTCACATGAAAAATAGGTATTTGAAATTCAAAATTACACCAGCCAGCGGAACAGATGGCTTACTTTTTGGGATAATTCGACGAAGATGCAAAACTTCAATATCAACATGAACTTTATGTGACTAAGTTTAAAGTGCCGCAGATCTAACGTATCAGTAAATACGCTTTGGTTTAATTTAACTTCTCAATCGAGTATTTACTAGCTTTATCTTTGCAAATATTAACGCTCTCTGTCTGAATATTGACTATACAGTGAAAACGTATTTGTGCATAGACGCGTTTTTAGCTTTTATCCATCGGTATCAATTTTTGTTTAATGTTCGCATTCTTCGGGTCTGGCTAATTATGAGTGTAAAAGTTAATCAAATCAAATCTCTCACTTGTGACTGATAATTTTTAACCTTTGGGCGAATGACGGATGTGCGAATTTTTTCTCTCAGTAAACATAGGGTAACATAAGTGCGTAAAAAGTTAATGATAAAGCAAAAATTACATTTTGTCGATTATGCGGATACAAAAATTCCATCAATTAAAATATTCTTTTTCTTTGCAGATTCTACCAAAAAACTAGAAGAGGTTCTAGAAGAATTCTGTGGTTCTGGTCCACCCCATAAGAACAATCCTGATGGGGTAAGTTATGTTCTCCATTCCTTTTCAAAGTATAATTCTCATATTTTATACGGAAAATATAGCTAAACTTATACTTTGCATATATGTTCCATTCCCACGACAGAGTTACTTAAATTGTACTTTCTGCTCGTTTTCAGAATGATTTAAAGAAAACTACTGCAAACATACTTCACATATCCATTTTTGGAATGTCTAAAAACCACTTGTAAAGCATTAAAAGGGCTATTTTCACAGCGTGACTTGGCAAGTGCTAATACGATTATTGACTAATTTATGAAAATGCCATCTGATTCCTCTGCAACTAAAATACTTTGTGAGACCGTCGACTGTGGGAAATTAAACTTCGTGAAGCAACTAACATGCTTGGAAATAAATGTTTGTCTTTTTAATTGGCATGTGACTATCTCTTGCTGGGAAGAACAATTTGTGCTTTCCAGACTTGACTCTGTACAATTAATTTCGTGTCTTGGGTTTCTAAAGCGCGTAACATAACTGAAACAATTTTTCCTGCAAAGCTGTGGTACGTAGATTCTTTCTGTATTATAATCATAGAAATAATATAAACAATGCCGTGTTCTCGGAATGAAGCTATAATTCCCCAAAGCGACCAAAGCAGATCTGATCGTTGTTTCTCACAACCCACCTGGCATTTTGTCAGAGTGCTTAAAACCGCAGTTTGTTTTTATAGGCTATTACATCACAATATTCATCCCAGGATTCCCAGGTACGAAGTTAAAATTTGTTTTCCATGTTCGCCGATGCCTCACTTAATTTTATCAAAGGAGAAGTTCTCGAGTCTTTGTTCCAAATACAGAAACCTAAATCGTCGAACGCGTAAGTTTACGAAAGTTTATTTTAAAGTTGGAAACTTCTCATTCTTCATTGCACTCTCCGGCGGTGAAACGGGAAAGTTTCTTAATATCCCAGGGACGTCGCACACGTGTATTCCTCTTTTAAAAGTATAAAAGCACAATGTAGACATTATTTATGGACGCGATTTATTTTACATTCGAAGTGATTGATATTCGCTATGGGTGTTTGTTATTTTTGTAACACGGTGTTAAGAGTGTCGTATGTAAAATTTTATTTTACTTTTTACATTTCTGTTTACAAATCAAGTTGAACTTTGGAAAATTCAAATGATTTTTACTAGTATTCTATTTAATGTTGCAGTTTGCTTAAAGGTATGATAACCCGTAAATAATGTAACAATTTTAAGGAATAACATCCCAAATTTTATTATTACAGGGAAACAATCAATAACGGGCATTAAGTTACTCCATGTTATTTAGTCGAGCTCATTATTAAAACGAAATAAAATACAAAGTAGCATTTGATTGGTAATACAATAAGGGTCATGCCAATTTCAGTTTTGAAAGCAGACCTATATAAACAAAATTCCCTCTCCATTATTTAAGGACACGTGGCGTTAATGTTGAAATTAATTGTTGGTATAAGAGAAACGACAAACAACAGTAGAATTTTCTTATGTGGTTAATGGAAATTTAGTTTTTGCAAAGAGGTTGCGAATAGTTTTTGTATGCCTAAGTACTCACTTTTAATTCTTTGTCTTTAAAACATTAGAATAATTGAATAACCTATATGATCCATTGTAGTAACAAGATTCGTCAAGAAAGAGATTCATTTTGCAATTGTCTTTGCCGATTTTAAAATTTTGATCCGCTTATTAGTTATTTAAAAAATCTAAAAACTGCCGACTTTCAAGAAACTAAATATCTCGCTAATTAGGCAAAGTATGTCAAAAAGAGAAATGCCCTAGCAAATGGCGGTAACTTACACATGAACAGAGCTGGATAACATACAGTGGTATTTATTACGAAGTAGACATAGGGACTTATGTGTATTGTTTTCCCTTTGTCTACTTTTAAATGACATAATCCTTCTGAAGGGTGCCTAATTTTATGCATCCACAATAACTGTTTAAAACAAATAAGTATCTGGCTGTTGTATTATTTAGTTTGATTATTGTTGCTTTGGTTTAACAGAAAATAAATCTTTTACGCTCTTTAACCTGTTACCTGCACTGTACCAATTGACAATAGGTATCAACCTTCAGTGGAATACATCGTACACGAACGAAAATAAAAATACGGAAGCCAAAGCAACAATGCTCAAATTAATTAATGAGGCGCCCTTCAGATTTTGTCATTTAAAAATAGACATAGGAAAAAACAATGCACATAAATCCCTATGTCTACTTCTTAATAAAATAGCACTGTATATTAGAACTTACAAAATACACCGAAGAAACGTACCTAGAATTTAATGAGAAATTCATAATAGAAAATAGGTATTTTAAATGCGCTAACCAGGACCTAAACAGCTCCGGAATCCTTTAAAAAATCTGAAAGGAAATAAAGTGGCCTAAGAGGGAGGATGATTTGGAATTGCTTTATAGACTCTCTCTGCAAAATGCCTATGGAGCTCTGAATCAGGCTCTTTTAAGAACCTTCCAGAACTTTTAAAATTGTTTCCAGAGCATAAGAGATTATGTAAACGTCTTGGAAAGATCTGACATTCTGTGGCGTGCCTATGCCATCTCAAAGCTATGGAATCCACACCAAAAGTTTTGAGAAGTACCTAAACCGCCGTGGGAGGGAACTGAAAGGCGATGGAAAGGAATCCTATTGCTGTAGTAAATGCCGCGCCGGCTAGAGAAGACATCAGATTGCTTATAGAATCTTCTAGAGTCTGTGTTCCAAAAGATTTTATAAAGCAGTAAAACGGATTTAAACTAGTCATTGTCAAGAATGATTAAGAAATTATTATCTAAAAGATGAAAAGTACTTTGTAGCAGAAGGTAAATCAATTTGATGGCGTGATAAGTAAATAATTGTAGCCCATAAGCGCAATGAAGAAGTAGAGGCCATCAGACTATCATCAAAAATAACTCAACTAAAATCATTAATTCGCCAATAATTTTTTATTGTCGTTTTGTTCTCGTACCATACACTTTTGCAGATGTTTGGTTATTTGATTTTTTAATATTCGTACTATACAGGGTGAATCAGAGCACCCGTCCCAGGCTTTTATCTTGGAATAGAGACGCCTTAGAGTTTTAGGAAAAAAATTTTCATTACCAAAGCCTACCTGAAGAATTTAATGGAAGTAGTCTCTATTTCCGGAATTAACCGGAAGTAGGCGTAACAGCACTCAACTTCAGAATTTCAAATGGAACCCTAGGTCTTGTGTGGTATCGTTGGATAGGTATTTTGAAAACAAACAACTTTTGTAGGAAACATTTTTTTTTGTAAAAAGTGTTATTTACGAAATAAAATTAATAAATATGTTATTTACGAAATAAAAATAAATAAATAAAAAAGCTGACTTAAAACCAAATGATTCCTGCTGTTCCCGGCTACTGCGATTTAATTCAAGTGTTTTTGTTTGAAAAGGTAAGACAGATATTGTTTTGTGTAAATAGCAACGTAGTTTTTTGTCATTATTACGACAGGTAATAGTAACTTTACACCTGCATTTTAATGTTAAATTTACATTATTTGTTTAAATTTTTCTTCCATACACACATGTGCAAAGGGTTTTTTATTGTAACAACATGGTATTTTCAAACCGCGAAGGTTTCGATATGCTGATGGTGTTGGGTGAGTGTCGTCAAAATTATAGAGCAGCTGAGAGATTATACGCTGAGCGATACCCTCAGCGACCCGTTCAGTCGAGGAAAGTGTTTCAACGCCTCGCTGATCGAGTTAAGATGACTGGTACAACCGAAACACAATAAGAATCGGCGCATCGGACGGTATGTACAGGATGAAAGAGCGCCTGATATCCTTGCCGCTGTTGCTCTGGACCCACACGTTTCAACCAGGAGACTTGCAATCGACGCTGGGATGAGTCAAATGACAGCTTGGAGGATTTTAAATGGCAACAAATTATATCCATATCATGTTAATTTACATCAGGCACTTGGAGGACAAGATTTTCAGAGACGGTTAGATTTTTGCGAATGGTTATTGAACCAAAACCAAAACTTCCATCACAAAATTCTCTGGACCGATGAAGCAACGTTTAAAAGCAGTGGCGATGTTAATATTCACAACGCTCACTATTGGTCTCGTGAAAACCCGCATTGGCTACGTGAAGTGGATAACCAGAATGTTTGGAGTCTTAATACCTGGTGCGGCATTTTAGGAGGCCGAATTATTGGTCCGCATTTCTTTGACGGCCATTTAAACGGGGCCGTGTACAACGATTTTCTGGAGAACATCCTCTATGACCTTCTAGACAACGTCCCAATTGCAATACGTGCAAAGATGTGGCTGCAACAAGACGGTTGCCCAGCACATTTTTCGAGAGTATCTCGCCAAACTGCCAATCGTCTCTTTCCTAATCGCTGGATGGGAAGAGGAGGTCCGTTTCCTTGGCTAGCTCGTTCCCCTGACCTGACACCACTTGACTTCTTCCTCTGGGGACGAGTCAAAGATATTGTTTATCAACAGCGCCCAACCACGAGGGAGAATATGAAGGAAAGAATTCGAAACGCATGCCGTTTGCTCAATGAAAATGAGGTGCTTAGGGCAGTCGACAACGTCCGACTTCGGCTACAAAACTGCATCAATCAAAATGGAAGACATTTTGAACATATTAATTAATATTTATTTCGTAAATAACACGTTTTACAAAAAAAAAATGTTTCCTACAAAAGTTGTTTGTTTTCAAAATACCTATCCAACGATACCACACAAGACCTAGGGTTCCATTTGAAATTCTGAAATTGAGTGCTGTTACGCCTACTTCCGGTTAATTCCGGAAATAGAGACTACTACCATTAAATTCTTCAGGTAGGCTTTGGTAATGAAAATTTTTTTCCTAAAACTCTAAGGCGTCTCTATTCCAAGATAAAAGCCTGGGACGGGTGCTCTGATTCACCCTGTATAATAGGAATTAAGGAAACTATAAACATTTACATAAAATCAGAAAATAGAACTAAAGTCAATAGAACGTGGAATGATTCCCAGTATT